CCAAGTTGCCCAGGCGGGTCTCGAACCCGTGGGCTCAGGCAACCCACTCACCTCAGCCTCCCAAGGCGCGGGATTACAGACTGAGCCACCAAGCCCGGCTCTGTTTTGTATTTTAAACATAATCTTTTTTTTTTTAAGCTCAACACACACTTCATGTCCGTCATCTGATTTGGACAGGGCAGGAACTATTTCTCCCATTTCACAGAAAAGGAAACAGAATCCCAGAGAGAGAAAATGACTTAGGGTCACACAGCAGATTAGAGGTAGAATTGAGACTAAAAACCCAGGTCATCTACCTCCTTTCGCTATGTCATGCTGCTTCTCAAACGTGCCACATCACCAGAGTTGTAGTAGAAAAAATAATGTCACTGAGAAGAAAAGGTGCTGAGTAAGATGAGTAGAGGACCCAGGGAAAATGTATTGTGTGTGATGAGAAGGGGAGCTACAGAGAGGGCATTCCAGTGGCAGGAATGTTCTGCAGTAGGGCTGGATGTGAGTGGGAACAGCTTGAAAGAGGAAGCTGGGAAGGTGAGCAGAAGCCCCATTGAGCCATTTGGCCTTGATGCTAAGGGCAGTCCTTCCAGCCATTGGTGTGGTCAGCACCTCACATGTGCAAACACTGCAGGCACCAGAGACCCTGCAAATCCTGTATATGACTGATAACAGGAAAGGCTTCTGAAGGCAAAGACAGCTCTTGCAGAAGAAAACATGGCATAGCACCTGAGTTTGAGTCTCACCTCTCCACTAACTGTGAACATTACCTCACTTCTGTAAAATGGAAATAAATGTTCCTGCCTTGCTTCTCTCGCTGGGAATTGGAGAGTCCAGTGACATTATATTGGCAGAAGTAAACTAAAGGATATTGTACAAATGTCACAAATGGGTCTTACAGGCTTCTAGAATGGTTAATAGCAGTTGCATTTTAATTGTGTTCTACCCAGCCAGTCCACTTCCATCAAAGTGGATTTAGGTGGTAGTGCTTTGAATACAATGTAAGACTGCTATAAACAACGTGAAAGAAAGTGGTCAAATAAAAAGAGGGGTGATAGCTTTGGTTTCATAGGAGCCACAATGAAAGGATCTGAGTCAAGCCCTCAAGGCAGGCTTTGCATAGTTGTTAGGAATATGGCTTTTTAAGTAAAATTTGGACTCTGCCTCTTAAGTCCTTTGGACTAATGAGTCTGCCTATCCCCAGGGTGTGGTGAGGATTAACTAAGGTCATATGTATAAAAAGTACCTAGCAGTGTGCCTGGCAGGTGCTTAATAAAGACTTCTTTTTTTAAAGACTACTGCAGTCCAGTGTGAGCTGGCTATGATTGAGGTAAGCCATGGGTGGCATACAAGCCCAGGAAAGGAGCTCCTCACTCAGCTTCAAGGAACTGGAAAGGTTTCCTGGAGGAGCGGTGCCTGGGCTGAGCTGTGCAGGAAGAGTAACAGTTAGCAAGTGAAGATGTAAGACAAGGGAGGTGTGTGTAGAGGCCCATATATGAGAGGATGTAGCACTTTAATGGAGTTCTAAGTAATGTAATGGTCAGAGCAGGTGAAGGTGGTGAGAGGAGTTGAGAACAAGAGGGTCACAGGAGCCAGTTCACTGAGCTGCAGAGGTCTTGTCAGGAGTTTGCCTTGAGGACAATGGGAACTCACTGAAAAGTTTTTTGTTTTGTTTTGTTTTGTTTTTCTGAGTTGGAGTCTCACTCTGTCGCCCAGACTGGTGTGCAGTGGCTGCTCCCAGCCACCGCAGCCTCGACCTGCTGGGCTCCGGCGATCCTTCCGCCTCAGCCTTCTGAGTAGCCGGAATTACAGGCGTGTGCTACCACGCCCGGCTGATTTTTTGATTTATTGTAGAGATGAGGTCTCGCTGCCCAGGCGGGTCTTGAACCCACAGGCTTAGGCAATCAACTCACTTCAGCCTCCCAAAGGCACGGGATTACAGGCTGAGCCTTCGAGCCCAGCATGAAAACTTTTTATTTTATTTTTTCATTTCACAGTAGGTTCTCTTTTTGGTCCTCAACTGTGGGTGTACCCTGTTGATGTAAAATTCTCTTTTTTTTTTTTAATTAGGAGTCTAACTCTTTCACCCAGGCTGGAGGGCAGTGGCATGCTCACAGCCACCACAGTCTCAACCTGCTGGGCTCAGGCAATCCTTCCTCCTCAGCCTTCTAAGTAGCTGGAACTACAGGCGTGTGCCACCACACCCAGCTAATTTTTTTGATTTATTGTAGAGACAGGTCTCACCAAGTTGCTCAGGCTTGTCTTGAACCCTCAGGCAATCCTTTCACCTCCACCTCCCCAAAGTGCTGGGATTACAGGTGTGAGCCACCGTGCTGACTGATATAACATTCTCTGTTTATACAGTTGGCCATTTATCAGTGGCCCAACCTTTTGAAGACTTTGCAACTGGTTCTTTGGTCTCTGGCCTCACCCTGAAGTTACTGGCTATCCAGGGAGTCTCTTGAAGTGATGGAGATCTCTCCTCACTCATTTTGACCTGCTTTGGCTCTCTTTGAGCTTCCTATTCAGCCATGGTAGTGGCTGAATAGTGTTGGTCTTCTCCTTTTCCCAGGTTTTCTTTGAAAAGATGGTTGATTTTGGACAGGCTTTGTTTCTGGAACTTCCTTGAAGGGATCCTTTTACTCTTGTGGCTTATCTTGGGCACTGTGGTTCTGCCTCTGGGCCTGGGGGCAAGTGGACCTTTCTCTCTTTTGCCTCTTTGGTGCTTACGGTTGGTTATTTGACAGCTGTGCTGAAGGCTTATGTTTTCCTGGTCATCTTTGCTATGTCTGAAAGCTTTTAAGCCGAGGAGAACTGTAGCCAGAGCTGCCTTTTGAAAATTCATTTTGTCAGCTTTGCAGAGAATAGAATGGAAGGCAGCAAGGCTAGAGGCAAGGAGATCAGTGAGGAGCAGTAATTAACCATGATCCAAAGATGGAGAGGAGATCCGTCTCTGGCAGCCTGGTGAGCTAAAAGGGAGAATCGGGGAGGGAGTAGTCAGGGCATGAGGTTTAGTTATCTGGTGCAAGTAGCCGAGGCAATGGCAGGAACTGGGAGAGGCTTAGGGTATGGAGAGAAGAGTGAGTTTATTCTGGGCACACTGAGTTTAAAGCATCTAGCAGAGGTGCCTTCTGGTTGCCTGGGTTTGTAGCACTGATAAGAGATGTGCTTTGATGTGCAGACATGGGAGCTGTCATTGTACAGGTCATAGTTAGACTCATTGACAAGGACAGGCAAAAGTTATATAGCCTTGGTTGTAGCATTTTTGAACAATTGTCCCATGGGATTTTGGGCAGGAGTTGTACAGCCAAAAATTCCTAGTGACTCTAACAAGGAACCTAAAAAATTTATATTGAGGGTTTTTGACGAATAAAAGGTCCATGGTGCCTCATGAGCACTCAGCATCAGGAACAATTACATGCCAGTTGGCATTAATACAAGCAGGGGGTCATGAGTGGGAGTGTGGGCTTATTGAGCTAGTCTCTGCCAGGGAGCAAGGCTTTGATCCAGTGACCAGAGAGCCATCACCCTGCCTCTAGCACATGCCCAGGAAGGGAAGGCTGGAAGAGGAGCCTGGTTGCTTGGAAGAGGAGCCTGGTTGCTTGAGGCTCCTGGAAAAAAAGTATCACTGACAGGGATGGTTTTACTTCTGTGTATGTTTTGCAGTTTTCAATTGGAAGTCAGGTATCTTATGTAGGACAGTAGAGACTGAGGTCAGTAGTGTTTATGTTTGAAAATGGGCATGCTGCTTTTTTGGCCAGGACTTTAAGGCCTCAGTCTAGTAAGGAATCAACTGGTGTGGGTCGTGATGATGTGGTTATCCTTGGTGTCCCACAGGCTTCAGGTTCCTGGATTGTTACTTTGTGTTGTTTTCTCACTTTAGGTTCCCACTTTGGACCTGCTTCTCAGGTGTGCTCTCCCTGCTCTCACCTTCTCCGGTAGTAGACTGCCATCATTTGTCTCTCTGGGTGCTGGCAGTGTTTCTCTGTTGTCCTGGGTCAGTAGGTTCTGTGGCTGTAGGCTTGGCAGTAGAATCTTTCCAGTGATCCTGCCTCACCCACGGTGCTAGGAGAGCTCTGATAGTCTGGGCCCAAGACATTTTCCTCCACTACCCCCTGGTAGAGTTTTTTGGTTTGTTTTTCCTGTTTCTCATATATAAGGATTGTTCTGTAGGAAAGTTAGGGGAACTAATCCAGAAGGGACTTAGTGCCTCTCAGAGTTACTGCTGCCCTTTTTCCCCAACTTGCACCTGGAGGGAGGCTGTCTCTAGCCCCAGCCTTTCTGTCAGTCCTTCATCAGGCCCATGGAGAAGTGAATAGATGGCAGGTACTCTCAGAGTTTCTGTGCTCACGTTAGTTCCCAATCGGCCTCTAACAATGCATTAAACATATGAGCTGAATCCTTCTTCTGATTTGTATGCTCCTATATCTGTTCAGCAAGCAAGTGCCCAGGCATTTGTTTTATAAAGCAGAAGGGAAGGTGGGGAGAGGACCTGTGTGGTGGTCTGCTCTCAGCGCTTTCTCACTTCCTTGAAGGCGCTGGTATTGTTTTGTTGTTGTTGTTGTTGTTTTGAGTTGGAGTCTCACTCTGTCGCCCAGGCTGCAGTGCAGTGACACGCTCATGGCTACCACTGCCTTGACCTGATGGGCTCAAGCAATTCTTCTGCCTTAGTCTTCCAAGTTGCTGACTACAGGCGCACGACACCACACCCAGCTAATTTTTCTTGATTTATTGTAGAAACAAGGTCTCAGCATGTTGCCCAGGCTGGCCTTGAACCAATGGGCTTAGACAGTCCTCTCACCTCTGCCTCCCAGAGTGCTGGGATTACAGGTGTGGGCCACTGTGCCCGGCCAGGTATTATTTTTAGAGTTCAGGCTAGCTGGTTGTCCTGCAGCCTCAGCTCTCTAATGGATTCCAAGGCGTATATATTACCTTCCCATTTTCTTGTTGATCAGTAGGGAACAACGCTCTCTCCAACTTTCTCCGTGTTAAGCAGAAGCCTAAACCTTGAAATTGTACTTTTGTTCTACTTAATTCTTCCCAGAATTTTATCCTAATGAAATATATTACTTACTAGTATTATAAATTTATCATAATGTAATATATTCCACTGTTAATATACAGTTGAAGCCAGGCTCTTTGACTCAGCCTGTAATCCCACACTTTGGGAGGCCGAGGTGAGTGAATTGCCTGAGCCTGCGGGTTTGAGACCCGCCTGGGCAACTTGGTGAGACCTCATCTCTATAATAAATCAAAAAATTAGCTGGGCATGGTAGCGTGCACCTGTGGTTCCTGCTATTTGGAAGGCTGAGGCAGAAGGACCGCCGGAACCCAGCAGGTCGAGGCTGCGGTGGCCGGGAGTGGCCACTGCACTCCAGTCTGGGTGACTGAGTGAGACTTCAACTCAAATAAATAAATAAATAAATAAATACACACACACACACACACACACACACACACATACAGTTGAGACAATATAAATGTATTTCAGATTTCTTATATGCAGTCACCCCTTAGTATCCATGAGGGATTGGTTCCAGCACCCCCTGCCTCAGAATACCAAAATTCACTGATGCTCAAATTCCTTCTATAAAATGACATAGTATTTGAATATAATCTGAACACATCCTCCCATATGCCTTAAATCATCTAGATTACTTCTAATAAATTTAATGTAAATGCTATGTAAATGTTGTTATACTGTATTTTTTAATTTGTGGGGAGGACTTATTGTTATTTTGTTTATATATTCAATCCACAGTTGGATGCAGAACCCACAAATATGGGGGCCAGTTATACTTATTAAATATGAAAAAAATGTGATTGGAAATATGTCCTCTTAATAAGCTGGTTGCTGGGTTATGGTACCTTGTTTGACAGAGGCTTTCTTACACCAATATTTCTAACTGTCCCCTGATTGGAGTCTCAGAAGTTTTTCTACCCTAGGATAAGACCATGAAAGATTCAGGATGGGCAAGAATAGGCTTTTGTTTTATAAAGTGGAGGGGAAGGTGGGAGGAGGGAGGACCTGCGTGGTACCCTGCTCTCAGTGCTTTCCCAGGCTGGTGGGTTTTATGAAGGCACATTGGGAGTGGTGGAACTGGAACTTGATTTCATTAAGAGTAGCTATACCCTTAGCCCCTGGGGAACTCTTCATGCAACCCCAGCACATATAGCCTTTGAGGACCACTCAATCCCGTCTTCTGTAAGCTTCCTTTCCATCTGCCGTCCAGTTATACTATGCTTACAAGTTCTGAATATGGAGCATGGGGCCAGGCATCCATCTAGGCATTAGTAAAGAACCGATGTGAGACTGGTGAAGAACCTGCAGGGCAAAGCAGGTAGGGCCCAGAGATGTCTGTGTGCTTAGGAAACACAGTGGGAAGGTGGTGGTACCTGCGTTCAAGTGCTTCTCTCACCTGCAGGGTGAACTGCATGGACCAGATGGTGAGGAGGCGACTCAGGTGTTCCCCAGTGGTTTCTAAAAAATTCTTGTTACGGGAAAATAAATGACTTTCTCTTTTCTGCTTAGATCGTCATGCTCAGGAATGACATTTACCACTGCCGAGCATCAGGCATCTTTCTTCGCTTGGAAGGCGGAGGCTTGATTGCCGGCAACAACATTTACCACAATGCGGAGGCTGGTGTAGACATCCGGACAAAGTCCAACCCACTCATACTGGTACTTTTCTCTGTCTTCATTCCCGGTTCAGGGTGGCTCTTGGTTTTTGGAAAACTTTTTGGAGGATATTTAAATAAATATTGCCATCTTGCACTTATATGCTTCCAGTTTGCAAGCAGTGCCTGCTCTTTTTCTGTGTTTTTGTGATTCTGTCTTTCTTTCTCTGTGAATTAGTTGTGACCTTGAGCAAGCCATTTTCTGGTAATTTTTCCATCAGTAAAGAAGAAGGTAAACAGGACCCTCAACCCTCATGTGTTGTGATTAGCTTTGAATTTGATAAGAAAAAAGATAATGATGTCTGCCCTAAAAGACACTTGGATCCAAAAGCAAACAAACAAAAATTAAAAACCCACCAAGTTATTGTCTTCTTTTGTGTAAAAAGGACATGTAGGGTAGTAATTTATGAACATTATTTTATGGATAGTGAGGGCATATTTAGTGTGATTTTCTACCAGTGTGAAAACCACTTAAAATCCTAGAATATATGACAAGTGACACGATAGACCATCTCCTTTTCTGCTCTGGCTTTTTCTGAGAGAGATTTCCCAGCAACTGGAAAACATAACGGACTTTTTATGGATTTAGAAAAATAGTAGCCACTGTTATGCATAATACCTATTGTATGCCAGACACTTTTGTAAGACTTTTTAGATATTTACTTAATTATCACTTAATCCTTACCTAACCCTGTGAAGAATGATTATTTTCCTTATAGGAGAAAATTTGGGGCACAAAGAGGCAGAAGATCTTGCCCAAAATCATACACCTAGTGATAAAACTGGAATTTGAATCTAGGCAGTTTGACTTAGGGTCCATGTTCTGAATCCACTCTATCTAGACTACCCTTGAAAATACAGAGAAAGTTCCTAACTATAGTTAACTAGTGTCCTCTGCCAACCCCTTGCCCTCACTGTGTTTCTGCCGTTTGGCTGGTGATACTGCATGGCCTTGGCTTGGAAAATTATTGCCACTGTTATCAGAGAGATGAGAGGAGTTTGCCTTTTCATGGTCAGAGGGACAGAAGGAATAGGCCAGTTGAGCAGGTGGAGCGGGGAAGGGAGTGACACATTTCAGCCCTGGCTTTGTGAGAAGGTGCCATTGCATACATCTTTCAGAGCTGTCAGCCCTGTGAGGGACTTCTGTTAGGCAGTGGTGTAATAGTGATTCTGCCAAATCCTCCAGTAGAACTCTGGAGAGAGGTTAAGAATAAGAAGAGCTCACAGCATGAAGCACTTTAAAGCAAACTAGAACTTTTATTTCTGTTAAATCGTTTTGGAAGATACAACTAACTTCCTGGTTTAAGTATGGGATTGGGTTTCAGCTACAAATTAACACTTAGAGTGAGACTATTTTGTTATAGTTTATTAAAATCTAAAAATATTAAATCACTGCAAAAGCAAGTAACTGGAGTGGAAGACAGAAAAGCTAGGTTTAAAATCTGGCTCTGCCACAAACATACTATATAATCATGGGCTTGTTTCCCCATTTGCACAAAGAGGTTAGAAGTGAATCTCTCTAAGCATCCTATAGCTCATACATGTTCTATGACCTCATGTCTCCTGGGACAACTAAGCCCCCCATTTTTCCAGAGGCCCTCTCATGAATGAGAAGGGAGACCAGAAGCCAAATGGCTCTCACCCCTCTCTGGATGTGGCCCCCCTGGGATTACACTTGGTCAAAATTCTGTTGTACTGGGGTGCTGCCCTTCCCCTGGGAGGTGTGATCTGGCCAGATGACTGTGTGTTTGGGAGACTCATTAGAGGCTTGGAAATTTTTGGTAGCCTGCCTTGCAGGTGAAGAGTAAGAACTCTCAGTAGTAAGTGCCAGCATACCTACATCCTTAGAGGCCATCCTGTGGAGACTCCTGTATTCGTGGTCTTCCTTACAGATTTTGATATGTATGCCTGTGCAGGAAGGGCAGGGCAGCAGCATGGCCCCCTTCCCTTTGCCATGTGCTGGGGATCTTCCGGTGACTTTTTTTTTCTCTCCACTGTGTTCATCCTGGTGCAGTTAACGTGGCAGCGAGTGCGCACTCTGCTTCTTGCTAGCATGTCTGATCTGTCTTCTGTAGTGTCTCCTCTTTTACTTACAGTGTAACCAAATCCACCATGGTCTTCGCTGTGGCATTGTTGTCCTTGGCAATGGGAAAGGCATCATCCGGAATAATAAAATCTTTTCAAATAAGGAGGCTGGCATTTATATCCTGTACCATGGAAATCCAATTGTGAGGTATGTGCCGCTGTACCCAGACTGTCTCACGCATCCATGGTCCCTTTTTCCTTTCATCTCTGTTTACCTGCTCCCTGTCTTTCTTCCATTTGAAAACATTGTTAACTAAAACAACTGTACAGACACAGAACTGTGTTCCCTTCCAGTTAACTCTGTAGACATTCTATTCAGTAAGCACTACTGGGCACTTCTAACAAGGGGTAACACGGTCAAACAAGGGGTAGACTTTGCAAAACATGCACAGAAACACTCTGAGATAGAGATGGTATTGTGGTTTTTCCTCACCTAATAGCTCCAGTTAGTTGATAGTAGTTACCTGGAATGTTGTGTTAAATCCTGGCACTAATCCTAGTGCTACATCTAACTTCAGCTGAAAGCAAGCCATGATCAGTCACGATGTGATAGTTAGGAAGGCTCGGTGTGGCAAGACTGGAACCTTGTATCTGCCATCCCAGCTATAGTAGGGGGCAGACAGTGATCAGAGTGGTACCAGGAGCAGAGAGGAAGCATTCTGACTGGGAGGATGTGGGAAGGCTTCATTTAGGAGGTGGCATTAGAGTTGGCCTTTGAAATATGGGTAAGGACTTGCACTCATGGAGATGAGGGTGTTAGTGGACATTCCTAGTAAACAAAACAGCATGAGCAAAGGCAGCAGAGCACAGTAGATTCAGAGGTAATAAACAGTTTAGTGGCTTGAGAAAGAATCTGACACATAGTAGGACACTGGTGTAAAGTTTTTTTTAATGTATTTTTTTACAGAGTTGTGGAGTACACGTGAGGATTGACTATATAAGTAGGCTGCATACAGGTGAAGACTGGGCTTCTTGATACTGGTATAAAATATTTTAAATCGAGACTATTCCAGAAAATCTTGGGCCCTCTGGTCACTGCAGCATAGCCTTTTGTCTACCTGTGGCAGTTCATTTGCACCATGCAACCTGGGAGAAAGAAATGATGAAAAGACAGGTGTGGGCCAGATGAGGAAGGTGGACCTCACCATCTTCTGTCTAGGTAATGAGGAACCATCAAGCATTTTCAGCAGAGGACTTACAGTTAGGCTTGTGCTTTAGGAACACAGCTGGCAGTATTGGGCAGCAAATGAATTCTGGGGGGTTTTCCTCTGCATTATTCAACATGTACTTTTTTGGTTTTTGTTTTTTTTTTAATTGGAGTATCACTCTGTCACCTAGGCTGGAGGGCACTGGCATGCTCTCGGCCACCACTACCTTGCCTGCTGGGCTCAGACAATCCTTCCACCTCAGCCTTCCAAGTAGCTAGAACTACAGGCATGCCCCACCATGCACCATGCCTGGCTAATTTTTTTTTTTTAATTGTAGAGATGAGGTCTCGCGAAGTTCCCCAGGCTGATCTCAAACTCGTGGGCTCAGGCAATCTTCTCACCTTGGCCTCCCAAAGTGCTGAGATCATAGGCATGAGCCACCACACCCAGTTCAACATGTACTTTTTTCCATGTTATTGCATAGCCTTTATATTTGTCATTTTGAAAAGTCTCAGAACACTCCATTGTTTTGCTATTTAACCATTTTGGAACCAGTACAATTACTGTAAGGCATCCGTTTGTTTACTGTTATAGACAGCGTACTAAAAACTAGTGGTCATCGCACTCTTTTCCCTCCTTTTGCTTTATTGCCTTAACATAAGAATATGTGTTTGTATGTATGTGTGTTCATTTAACACACATTCAAGTTTCTCTGTGTAAGAGGACAAGGATATTAAAATGTAAAAACGGTCCCAGCTTTGTGGAGTTTAGAGTCTCATAGTCATGATGGCAGACTAACCAAAACGGTGTGTAAATTCAGTCTTCATGCAGAGTGCCAGAAGAGCTCAGCCGGGACCACGGGTGAGCAGGTCAGGGTACATAGGATTTACTTATGGCCAGGGAAAAGGCATTCTGGGCCCAGAGGCAGTGAAACTGAGGGTATGCCTGGGAAAATGGTGAGAAGTATGGTGTCTGGGCACAAGATAACCAAAGAGATAGGGCAAAGACACGCTGCTGCTGGGGCACAAAGGGCTTTGAATATCAAGTGTGGTATTCAGAATAATGGCCCCAAAAGTGTCCGTGTCCTCATCCCTGAAACCTGTACATATGTTGCCTTACAAGACAAGAGGGTCTTTGTGGTTTGATTAAGTTAACAACCTTGGGTGGGGATAAGTGGGGGGAGATTATTTTAGATTCTCCAGGTGGGCATAGTGTAATCACAAAGGGCCTCATAAGGACACAGAAGGATCAGAGCAAGAGAAAAGGAGATGTGATGACAGAAACGAAGATGAGGCCACAGACTCAGAAATGCAGGGAGCCTCTTGAAGCTGTGAAGGATGAGAAATGGTTCTCCCTAGAGCCTCCAGGGAGAGAAACACAGGTCTGCTGACACTTTAGTTTTAGTCCTGTAACACCCGTTTTTTACTTATTTTTGTTCCTTTTGTTTTTTTCTTATTGAGACAGGATCTCATTATGTTGCCCAGGCTGGTCTCAAACTCCTGGCTTCAAGCGCTCCTCCCACCTCAGCCTCCCAAAGTGCTGGGATTACAGGTGTGAGCCACTGCACCTAGCCCCGTTTTAGACTTCTGATCTCCTGAACTAGAAGATACAGTTTGTGTTGTTTAAGCCCCTAAGTTTGCAGCAACTTGTAGTAACAATAGGAAACTAATACACCAAGGTAAGAAGTTTGCACTTTATCTTGTGGGTGCTGTGAAATTATTCAAGAGTTTTGAGTGAGGAATATCATAATCAGACCAGTATCTTGGGTTTTTCAAACAGCCACCTTGAGAGAATAGGTTGTACTTTTATCCTTTATGTTCTTTGTGATACGAGGTAGGAGTCTGGGGGAGGATACACAATGAAGTCTGAGATCCCTGAAATGGCTCAGATGAGGCAAACCACAGATATTTTTGCCACTGCAAGTTACATAACCTATTGTGTTTCTCTTTCTGCCTCAGCTGCAGAGAAGCACAGGGCTCAAACTGTGCTCATCTATAGCGAATAGCTTGGTTCTGAGTATGCTGGTCTATCCCCTTCTAAATCTTTTCTGCTCCCTCGTGCATCTTTATTCCACCTGCCCTACGTACTCACACGTGCATGTTTCTCCAAGTGGAGGTGAGACTTGTATTAAAAGTCTGTCAGGGCATAGTGGTACGTGCCTGTAGTCCCAGCTAGTTGGAAAGCTGAGGTGGAAGGACCGCTTGAGCCCAAGAGTTGGAGGTCAGCCTGGGCAACATAGTGAGATCCCTAGATTTTTTTAAAAATTGTAAACATTTTCTAGTTCCACTTAAGGGTTAGATACTAGATGTGTAGATGACAGGCAAGGGAGCCACAGTGAATGGATCTCATTGTGCTTGTATATAGCGTAGTTGTGCATTTCGTCTTTGGTCAAGCCATCCCAGTGATAACTAAAGATTTCTGCATGCCTGGTTCACAGGACTTCAGGAATTGCTTTATGCCCTCGTGGGGTTGAGCCAAAAGGAAACAGTCACCTGGAAGTGTGACATAGGTGCCCTGGCCTCACCTCTTTGTTTTATTCTCCTTCTACTTTAGTGGGAACCACATCTTCAAGGGCCGTGCTGCTGGCATAGCAGTGAACGAGAATGGCAAAGGCCTTATCACAGGTACGGGATGGAGCTGCCTGGAGCCTCGGCCAGCCAAGGCCATCAGTAGCTAGGCATGCATCCTCTGGTGTCACTCCCCAGCTCCAGGACCTCACAGCATTCGTTTACCCCACCAACTTTGGCCTCCTCCTCTGACCAGTGGGCTCGCACTCAGAGACAGCAGCTGCATACTGGCCATGCTGCTCACAAGGAGAGCCTAGCACAGAGGGAGTGGGTCTGTCCTTGCCAGCCCCAGGGCTGATAGGATCTCACCAGGTGGCTCCCAGGACGCTTTCAGAAGCATCAATCCCAAACCACAGTCTGAATCCCTCCCCTTGGCTTTGAATGGACTTTTCCTGCTCTGGCAATCTCTGTGAGGCCAACCCCTGCTCATCCTTTGGGTGTCAGTGTCACTTCCTCGGGGAACCCTTCCCTGACCTCTCCATTATACCCAGATGCACTCACTTGTACCCAGGACGCGTCCTCTGTAGGGCCCTTTACTTAATTTCTTAGTAGTGTGTTTTGTCAGTCTCCTCTGTTATAAAGAGGTAAGTTCACAAGGCGAGGAGCAAGAGCCATGCCTGGGATATGACGGGGGTTCAGCAAATATTGACCAAGGGTGTCCCCCTGACTGAATCCAGCCTTTAGTCATCAGATATCTTCTGGGCACATACTACATGGAGGCCATGCTCCAGGAGCTGGAGATACAGCAGTGAAGAAAACAGATGCCATCCCTACCCTCAGAACAGACATTGTAGGAGAAACAGATAAATAAAAGCATACATATGCAAGCACAAAAAAATCCTAAGAGTGATGAATCTCTACAGATAATTAAGATAAGGTGGTAGAGGGACTGTGTAGTATTTTAACTGTGTGGTCAGGACAGCCTTCTGAGAAGGTGACAAGTAAGGCAGAACCTGAGGCACAGGGAGGAGGAGCCTAGAAAAAGAGCCTTCCACGCAGGGCCACCTGTGGGAACAGACTCAGCATGCCTGAGCAGAGATCGCTTGTGGGACTGAAGTGTAGTGAGCGAGGAGGATGAGGCAGGGGTCACAGAGGCAAGAAGGGTCTCGTAAGCCACGGCACCCCAGTCCTGGCAGGCTGAATCTTCCCTGCCATGGTTTCCTGGGCCACCGCCAAGAGGAGGCAGTTCCCAAGGAGGTTGGAGGAGAAGGGTCTGGTCAGAGTACAGAGTGATGTTGAAAGCACAGGTCTGCATCTTGTCAGGCTTGTGGGGGAACAGCCAGTTTTTCTTGTTCACCAATCCTCAAGGCCATAGGAGTACACAAGACAGACACAAGCCTTGCCCTCAGGACAGCAGACAGGATTCAGGGTGCTGACTACTGGCAGAATAAAACCTGGACCTTCTGGTCTGGAGTGGCCTTGGTCTTAGCTGGAGGTGGCCCTTGGGGATTGACCTTCTTTTCTGCCTTTCTCCATAGAAAATGTCATCCGTGGGAATAAGTGGGGAGGTGTAGACATCCGCCACGGAGGGATCCCTGTCCTCAGGAGTAACCTCATCTGCTTTGGCTACTCAGATGGTGTGGTCGTGGGAGACGAAGGCAAAGGACTCATAGAAGGAAACACCATCTATGGTGAGGAGCATGTTCCCCAGGAGGGACAAGGTGGTGGGAAGGCCCAGTCTGGGAGGTGGGAAGCTCAGGTTTTATCTCCAGCTGGTGGGTCCTGAAAAAGTCACTGCCTTTCCCTATGCCTTGAGGATCTCGTCTGAAGAGCAGGCACTGTCAGGATGAAGAACCTCTTATAAATCACCTTGTAATTCAGGTTGATCCCAGGGGGTCAGGAAAGCAGAGAGCTTTACTCCCATTTAAAATAGTAAAAGGTAGCCATTGCCTTACTAGATGCCGGCGTGGCCATGTGCTCTTTGAGCTGTGGCTGTTGCCGTGCTTCCTGGCTTTGTCCCCCTCCCCCACCTTGGGGAGATGACTCTTCTCTCTCCCTTCTCTTTCTGTAATTTACTTTTAAATAAACTATATTTTTATCTAAAATAAATAAATAAAATTGTCAAAGGCATGAGTTGGATCATGACTAAGGAAAGGGCCATTTAAGTAAGCTCTGACATGGCTGGGCGTGGTGGCTCACACCTGTTATCCCAGCATGAGGATTGCTTGAGACCAGTTCAAGACCAGTTTGGGCAACATAACGAGACCTCATCACTATAAAAAACTAAAAATTGGCTGGGTGCAGTGGCACGCTCCTGCGGTCCCAGCTACTTGGGGGCTGAGGCAGGAAGATTGTTGAGCCCAGGAGTTAAAGGTTACAGTAAACTATGATGGTGTCACTGTACTCTAGGCAACAGAGCAAGACCCTGTCTCAAAAATAAAAGCTGGGCATGTCATCCCAGCACTTTGGGAGGCTGAGGTGAGAGGATTGCCTGAGTCTAGGGGTTCGAGATCAGCCTGGTCGACTTGGTGAGACCTCATCTCTTCAATAAATAAATAAAAAAAATTAGCCAGGCATGGTGGCACATGCCTGTGGTTCCAGCTACTTGGAAGACTGAGGCGGACAGATCACCTGAACCCAGCAGGTGGGGCTGTGGTGGCTGTGAGCATACCACTGCACTCCAGCCTGGGTGACAGAGTGAGACTCCAACTCAAAAAAATTAATTAATTAAAAATAAAATAAGCTGTGCATCTAACATGTGCATCTAAGTCCTCTTATCCTTTCTTCTGATCCAGAGAAATGAAAATATAATGAAAGCAGACTAATCATGGAAAGAAAATGTTCTCTCTCACTCTGTGACTCTGGGCAAAGCCTTAGTCTTTCTGGACTGTATCTATAATCATAATAAAGATAACCTCTCTGCTAGGCCCTTCACACTCACTCTCACATTTCATCCTCAAGACTGCCTTCTGAATTAGGTACAGTTATAACCCCATTATAAAGATGAGGCAACTGAGGCACAGAGAGGTCAGTAACCTGTTCAGGGTCACACAGAGGCTATCTCCTGCGCAGAGAGGGGTTGGTGCCCCTTTAGCACTGTCACTATGGGCTTGTGTGCTTCTGATCTGGAAGCGTCTCCTTGACAGTTCTCAGAGCATTTTTATACCTTGTGGAATAAGCCCAACCTGTGAGACTGGCCTGATCCTTACTATCCCTCTTGCATGAAGACGTCTACAGCCAGAGCTGTAAAGTGGCTTGTCCAAGGGCATTAGAGGGTCTCTGTCCTCTAGGCCAGTGCCTTTTGGCTCCCCCTCTTGGGGAGTGTGGGGGGGCCTGCCTCAACGTTGTTGGTGTCAGTGACTTTTACCATCCTAGCTAACAAGGGCTGTGGTGTGTGGATGATGTCATCCAGCCTGCCCCACGTCACCAGCAACCACGTCAGCTACAACGGCCTATATGGAATGGCAGTGTTTAGCCACAAGGACAGCTCCAGCGAGTTCCCTGGTGGCCACAGGGCCCGAGAGAACTTCAGTGAGGAGGAAGATGACATCCGCTGGGAGACAGAGCTGGAGAAGGAGGGTGACCCACTGCACCGGCCCATCACCGTAGCTCTTGTGGAGTCTAACA